CAGGGTGGGCTGACTCCCCAGGGGAGACCTTGCTTTGGAGGAGGTGGGAGTGGGGAGGTGGATTGGGGGTGAGGGCTGGGGGGTGGGGTGGGAGGAGGGAGGACGGGGGAATCCGTGGCTGATATGTGAAATTAAGTTAATTATAAAATAAAAATACTATATATAAACAAAAAGAATTCAAGCAGGGCAGAAACCTGGAGGCAGGAACTGTAAGAGAGGCAATGGAAGAGTACTGCTTTTTAGCGTTCTCCTCATGGTTTGCTCAGCATCCTTTATTATGTCACCTGGTACCGCCTGCCCAAGGGTGGCACCACACATTGTGCAGAGTCTGCCATCATTGATTACCAATCAAGAAATTGCACCACGATGTGCCCACATGTCGGTCTGGTGGAAGCATTTCTCCACTGAAGTTCTGTCTTCCAAAATGGAATGGTTTCAGTCAAGAACTCAAAACTAGTGTTTGACTTTTGTACACAATAACCTCTTACTTGGGCTGCTACAGCAGCCAAATTGCAATTTACTTTCATACATTACTGACATCACTTACTTTAAACTGCTCAAGATGATTTTCTGTTACTAAACAAATGTTTTCTTTAATCTTGGAAGAATATAAATTTGATCTTCTAATTTAACATTTTAGTAACTACTGTTACAGATTATTGCAATAGAATATTTTTTGCAAGACAGTATGTAATTCTAACTACCCTTATTTGGGTCATTTTGTTTCTTCTTTTTACTCTGAGGAATTATTTGTTTTTCAAACCTTACCTGTCTTCTTTGCAAACACATGCCATGCATACTGCTCAGAATATGTTAAAGGAGGGGAACTTAGTTTAGTTATTACTATTCAATTTTACCCATTAGAAATCCAAACAAATGATGTCAATTCTTCTTCATTTGGGTCCTTTACATGGACACTTTATTTTGATACATAATATTATCCATGTCTAAACAGTAATTTTATTTTTTCATGTTTCTAAGCCATGGGATTAATTATCTTCTAGTAAGTTTTATTTACTCAATTTCACAAAATTCGTTTTTTTTAAAGGTTATTCTACCTGAGGTCTATCATGTTAGCATCTTTACTTCCCCTTATTTTACTTCTTGTATTATTACTCTTATCTGCTTATATAATCTATTTTATAGGAACAAAAATGCTACTGGTTCATACTTTTTTTTTTATTCTGGACAAGTCCCTTACTAAATTACAGAGGCTTATAAGAAAAGGATCTTTCACATTCATCTCAGAATTTTTCTTCTTTTGTCTTCAAGACAAAAGAACTTTGGGACTGAGGGCCATTCATTCTAATTTCAGAGCTCATATCTTACCAAACTATACTACACATTTCACATTCACCTGCTTTACTAGGGAGTTCAACAATTACCCTGCTAACTATCCTGTCTGGATTTACAATTAGTGCAAGAGTACAGATATTAAATGTCCCCTGAAAAGATTTATGTGTCAAAGACTCAGTCTATATTAAGTCGATATGGACTCTTTAGGATATGTGAAAACTAATACAGATGCTACTTATAAGTTTCCTCTGCTATTGCATGTATGTCCAGATCATGGTACCTTTCATTGAAACACTCTTGAAGTGATGTTTCACTAGTCATGTACTCCATTGATGCTGGTTTCATCACCATAAGTGAAGGACAGGTGGCAATTTTCTCAAAACTCTTTCCTTGTTCAACTAAACCTCCTCCCATTTTGAGTGATTTAGATACTGAATTCCTAGACCTGAAATGATCCCTTTAACATAACCATCTATGCTCTAGATATAAAGTCCCATGTACATATTTTTAGTTATTTCTCTCACCTTTGGGAATATAATTTCATCATTTACCGTTTCCCATTCCTCCCTGCAAACCCTCCCATATTTTCCTCCTTGCTCTCTTCTGCTCAGTCTGTATAATGTTACTTGTATGTATGTTTTCAGAGCTGAGCATTTGGTATGGGATAACTAATTGGTGTGCTCCTTCCTGGGAAAGACTGCCTATCCTACTCTCAGCATTCCTAGTCTATAGCTTTCTGTGTTTGCTTCTTTGCTTTGTTTTGGTTTTGTTATTTCTCTCTCTCTCTCTCTCTCTCTCTCTCTCTCTCTCTCTCTCTCTCTCTCTCTCTCTCTTTCTCTCTCTCTCTGTAGGATTTAACCCTCATGGTCTTTTCCCCATGTACTTTGGCACATTGATTGCTGTTGTCCTTGTTCAGCTCATGTTTATTTAGGCAGCTATGTTGGTGAGACTATCTGACAAATCTTCTAAAAGCACATACTAGATTGTAGACTGCTATTTCCATGGGCGTGCTTATGATTTTAAGATTAGTTCCAGTCTTGAGTGGTTTGTGTTCCTTAACAACCCCTCTTTTGAATCCTTTTCTACTCTCAGTACAGAAGACTTGTTTGTAGACTTGGGACAATGTTTAATATTACTTAAAATAGGAAAGGAATGATCTGTAAAGCAGAATATTAGTGTCTTTATTTACAGTGAGAACTGAGTCATAGAGATGAAAAATTACACCAATTCCTCAGGCTATTTTAATAACAAATACAAAAGTTACAAAAAGACTATAGCTTGCTGAAAATAGAAGGAAAGTATGGGTAAAATCAGGTCATTGTAATCGGCAATGTATTATTATTTGCACTAGGACACTTGACCATATTGTTTCCACAAGAGACTTAAAGGACTTGATGATGCCTAGGAGATGTTCTTGTGCCCAGGCTGTTTAGCCAATCCTGGATTTTAAATGGGGATCCCTAAACTAGTCACATTGCATCTGATTAGGTTTAAACGCTCATATATTCATTAATTAATTCATTCAAAAATATTTATTGAGTAGAGAAAATGTGCTAAGTACTGAGCAAATCAATTAAGAATTCACCTTAACATAATAAAGGGATTACTAGAAGAGATTTCAAATACAAAACCACTCAGAACCTAGTGACATAGTTATTCTTTAGATTGAAGATCTCACAAACAATGTATTCCAATTGTCTTCATTACTCTAAAGAGATATTAAGTGGTATTACGTGATTGTCATACAAAAGACCAGATTTCCATGCAAAGTCAGATAAAACATTCCTGCGAAAGTAGCTTTCAAGCTGAAACTTGAAGAATAAATAGCTAAATACTAAGAAGAAATGTTGGAAGGGGCTTTGGCAATATGGA